GGGGGTGGCACTGGGGGACAGTGGGCAGGGGGTGGCATTGGGGACAAAGGACACTGCTGGTGGTGGCACCACAGCACTCAAGTGACATCCAGGGACACAGGACACCCATGGTGGTGGCACTGGGGACAGCACTGGGGTGGCATTGGGGACAAGGGACAGCGCTGGGGGTGGCACCAAGGGACAAAGGGACACTGCTGGGGGTGGCACTGGGCAGGGGGTGGCACTGGGGGACAAGGGACATTGCCAGGGTGGCACTGGGGACAAGGGGACATCGCTGGGGGTGGCATTGGGGGACAAGGGACACTGCTGCGGTGGCACTGGGGGACACTGGGCAGGGGGTGGCAGTGGGCACAAGGGACATTGCCAGGGCGGCACTGGGGGACATTCACAGCACTCAAGTGACATCAAAGGACAACACGGGACACCCATGGGGGTGGCACTGGGGACACTGGGCAGGGGGTGGCACTGGGGGACAAAGGGACAGTGCTGGGGTGGCACCAAGGGACAAGGGACAGCACTGGGGTGGCCCTGGGGACAAGGGACATGGCTGGGGTCGCACCAAGGGACAAGGGACAGTGCCACGGGTGGCACCAAGGGACAAAGAACATGGCTGGGGGTGGCACTGGGGACAAGGGACAGTACTGGGGTGGCACTGGGGACACGAGGAGACACCGGGCGGTGGCACCGGGGACCATGGACAGTGCCGGGGGTGGCACTGGGGACAAAGGACATGGCTGGGGTGGCACTGGGGACACTGGGTGGGGGGTGGCACTGGGGACAAAGGACAGTGCCAGGGGTGGCACCAAAGGACACTCAGAGCACTCAAATGACATCGAGGGACACGGGACACCCTTGGGGGTGGCACCAGGGGACACCGAGGGGGACGGCGCTGCCACCCCTGGGGACACCTTGGGGACACCCCCGGGGACAGCGCCAGCGCCGTTTATTGGGGAGGGGACAGCGGGGGTGGCACGTGTCCCCTCGGTCACACACAGTCCGTCACGTGTCACACATGGGTCACACACGTGTCACTGACATGTCACACACGTGTCACTCGTGTCCCCACGGCACGGGGACGGCCACGTGTCCCCTCCTGCCACCCCCGCGGGGACCAGAGGTGGCCACGTGTCCCTCGTGCCATCGCGCGGTGACGGTGACACCATCGACTGCCACCATCGGCTGCTGCCACCTGTCCCCTCTGTCACCAACACGGTGACACTGTCAACTGCCACATGTCCCCTCTGTCACCAACACGGTGACAATGACACTATCAGCTGCCACCATTGGCTGCCACCTGTCCCCTGTCACCAACGCAGTCATGGTGACACCATCGGCTGCCACCTGTCCCCTTTGTCACCAACACGGTGACAGTGACACCATCGGCTGCTGCCACCATCGGCTGCCACCTGTCCCTTCTGTCACCAACACGGTCATGGTGACACTGTTGGCTCCAGTCACATGTCCCTTCTGTCACAACGCGGTCACGGTGACACCATCACGGTGACACCACGGTGACACTGATGTCGCGGCCTAGGTGACAGAATGTGGCTGCGTGTCCCCTCTGTCACCAACGTGGTCACGGTGACACCGTTGGCTGCTGTCACATGTCTCTTCTGTCACCAACATGGTCACGGTGACACCATGGTGACACTGATGTCGTCACTGTGATGACGTCACGACGTGGCTCCGGTGACAGGACGTGGCCGCGTGTCCCCGCTGTCCCTGCTGTCACTTCTGTCACCGCTGTCCCTGGGGTGGCTGTGTCCCCTCTGTCACCAACACCATCACGGTGACACCATCAACTGCCACCTGTCCCTTCTGTCACCAACGCGGTTACGGTGACGCCATCACGATGACACCATGGTGACACCGCTGTCGTCACTGCGATGACATCACGACGTGGCTTCGGTGACAGGATGTGGCCGTGTGTCCCCATTGTCACCGCCGCTGTCACTGCCGTGTCCTCTCTGTCACCACTGTGTCCCCGACATCACCGCTCTCCCCAGGGTGGCCGTGTCCCCGATGTCCCTGGGGTGGCCGTGTCCCCTCTGTCACCGCTGTCCCTGGGGTGGCCGTGTCCCCACTGTCCCCGCGGTCACTGCCGTGTCACCGCTGTCACCACTGTCCCCATGGTGGCCGTGTTACCTCTGTCACCGCTGTCACCGCCGTGTCATCGCTGTCCCGGGGTGGCCGTGTCCCCGCTGTCCCCTCACGCCTGTGTCCCCTTCCCCTCCCGCAGCCGCTGCTTCATCTCGGCGATGGCCCGGCGCTGGGGACAGGGAGGGGACAGTGACAGGGACAGAGAGAGGGGACAGGAACAGGGACAGGGGGACATGGGGACAGGGATGGGGACAGTGACAGAGAGAGGGGACAGGGGACAGGGATGGGGACAGGGAACAGGGACAGAAAGAGGGACAGGGACAGGGATGGGACAGTGACAATGACAGGGGTGGGACAGTGACAGAGGGGACACAGGGACAGGGATGGGGACATGGGGACAGGAGGACAGGGAGGGGACAGGGACAATGGCAAGGAACAGTGATAGGGGACAGTGACGGGGGACATGGGGACAGGGGACAGGGATGGAGACAGGGATGGGGACGGGGACAGTGACACAGATGGAAAAGGGACAGGAACAGTGACAATAACAGGGGACAGTGACAGGGACATGGGGACAGTGACAATGACAGGGATGGGACAGGGACAGGGATGGAACAGGGACAGTGACAGTGACAATGGCAGTGAACAGTGACAGGGGACACAGAGACAGGAGGTCATGGGGACAGGGAGGGGACAGGGACAGTGACAATGACAGTGACAGTGACAGGGGACATGGGGACAGGGGACACAAACACAGGGACAGCAGGGACATGCAAGGACACGGGGTGGCACCAGGACTGTCCCCTCGGTGTCCCCTCTGTCCCCTCCCCCACAGTGTGGGACAGGGGACAGGGACACCAGGGGGACACTGGGGACAGCTGAGGACTGAGGGGGTCTTGGGGACATTGTGAGGGACATTGCTGGGGACACCTTGGGGACATCCAGGACACCTTGGGGACACTGAGGGGGGGAGGCTGGAGATGCTGGGGACACTGAGGAACATTGGGGACACCTTGGGGACACTGTGGGGGGGCAGCCTGGAGGTGCTGGGGACACTGGGAAGGGACTTTGGGGACACCTTGGGGACACTGGGGACACCTTGGGGACATTGGGGACACTGCGGGAGGGCAGGCTGGAAATGGGAAAGGACTTTGGGGACACTTTGGGGACATCCAGGACACCTTGGGGACACTGTAGGGGGGGCCCTAGAGAAGTTGGCGACACCTTAGGGACTTCGGGGACACCTTGGGGACACTGCGGGGGGGCCTGGGGACACTGGGGGATGTTGGGGACACATTGGGGACATCAGGGGGGGTGGCTGGGGACACTGGGGTGTCACTGGAAACACTGGGGACACTGAGAGGGACATTGGGGACACCCTAGGGAGTGTTTGGGGACAGTTGGGGACACGCCAGAGACACCCTGAGGACAGCTGGGGACAGCTGGTGACACTTTGGGAACACCCTGGGGACACCTTGGGGACAGTTGGGGACACCCTGGGGACATTTGGGGACACTCTGGGGACACTTTGGGACAGTCTGGGGACACTTTGGGGACAGTTTGGGACACTTGGGGACAGTTTGGGACACTTGGGGACACTCTGGAGACAGTTGGGGACAGCGAGGACACCCCAGGGACAGCTGGGAACACCCAGGGGACACTTTGGGGACACTTTGGGACACTCGGGGGACATTTGGTGACACTTGGGGACAGGTGGGGACACTCAGGGGACACTTTGGGGACAGTTGGGGACACTCTGGGGACACTTGGGGACACTCTGGAGACAGTCGGGGACAGCGAGGACACCCCAAGGACAGTTGGGGACACCCGGGGGACACTTTGGGACACTCTGGAGACATTTGGGGACAGTCGGGGACACTCTGGGGACACTTTTGGGACATTTGGTGACACTTGGGGACATTTGGGGACACTCTGGGGACATTTGGGGACATTCAGTGACATTTGGGGACATTTGGTGACAGTCGGTGTCTCACCCGTTCGGGATTGTCCGGCGGGAAAATCTCCCTCTGCAAAGAGAGCGGGTGAGGGGACATTTGGGGACATCGCGGGGACATCGAGGGGACATCGCAGGGGTGTCCCCAACTGTCCCCAGGGTGTCCCCGGGGTGTCCCCTCCCCCACCTTGCGGTCGATCACGTGACGCTGGAAAAACTCGGCCTGATTGGACACCCAGAACACGGCCACGGGAAACGACAGGTACAGGGACATCTGTCATTGTCACAATGTCACCATCAGTGTCACCTGTGTCACCTGTGTGTCACTGTCAGTGTCACAGTGTCACCTGTGTGACATCTGTGTGACACCTGTGACACCCAAAACACGGCCACGGGGAACGACAGGTACAGGGACATCTGTGTGACAATGACATCCGTGTCACCTGTGTGTCACCGTCAGTGTCACAGTGTCACCATCAGTGTCACCCGGGACACCCAGAACACGGCCACGGGGAACGACAGGTACAGGGACATCTGTCATTGTCACAATGTCACCATCAGTGTCACAGCGTCACCCTCAGTGTGACAGTGCCACCTGTGTGACACCTGTGACACCCCTGTGACACCCAGAACACGGCCACGGGGAAAGACAGGTACAGGGACATCTGTGTGACAATGTGACAGTGTCACCTGTGTGTCACCTGTGTCACCATCAGTGTCACAGTGTCACCCTCAGTGTCACCTGTGTGATCCGTGTGTCACCATCAGTGTCACCATTGGTGTCACAGTGTCACCGTCAGTGTCACAGTGTCACCTGTGTGACACCAGGGACACGGGGAAAGACAGGTACAGGGACATCTGTGTGACAATGTCACCATCAGTGTCACCATCAGTGTCACAGTGTCACCGTCAGTGTCACAGTGTCACCCGTGTGACACCCAGAACACGGCCACGGGGAACGACAGGTACAGGGACATCTGTGTGACAATGTCACCATCAGTGTCACCTGTGTGACCTGTGTGTCACCATCAGTGTCACAGTGTCACCTGTGTGACACCCAGAACACGGCCACGGGGAAGGACAGGTACAGGGACATCTGTCATTGTCACAATGTCACAGTGTCACCATCAGTGTCACCTGTGTGACCTCTGTGTCACCTGTGTGTCACCGTCAGTGTCACCATCGGTGTCACAGTGCCACCCTCAGTGTCAGTGTCACCTGTGTGACACCCGGGACAGGGGAAGGACAGGTACAGGGACATCTGTGTGACAATGTGACAGTGCCACCCTCAGTGTCACATTTGTGTCATCGTCAGTGTCACAGTGTCACCTGTGTCACCTGTGTGTCACTGTCAGTGTCCCAGTGTCACCTGTGTGTCACCATCAGTGTCACAGTGTCACCCGTGTGTCACCCAGAACACGGCCACGGGGAACGACAGGTACAGGGACATCTGTGTGACAATGGGACAGTGTCACCTGTGTGTCACCTGTGTGACCTCTGTGTCACCGTCAGTGTCACAGTGTCACCTGTGTGACACCCAGAACACGGCCACGGGGAACGACAGGTACAGGGACATCTGTCATTGTCACAATGTCACCATCAGTGTCACAGTGTCACCTGTGTCCCCTGTGTGTCACCGTCAGTGTCACCTGTGTGACACCCAGAACACGGCCACGGGGAATGACAGGTACAGGGACATCTGTGTGACAATGTCACCATGTCACCGTCAGTGTCACCTGTGTGACCTCTGTGTCACCATCAGTGTCACCATTGGTGTCACAGTGCCACCCTCAGTGTCACAGTGTCACCTGTGTGACACCCGGGACACGGGGAAAGACAGGTACAGGGACATCTGTGTGACAATGTCACCATGTCACCGTCAGTGTCACCTGTGTGACCTCTGTGCCACCTGTGTGTCACCGTCAGTGTCACAGTGTCACCTGTGTGACACCCAGAACACGGGGAACAACAGGTACAGGGACATCTGTGTGACAATGTGACAATGCCACCGTCACCTGTGTGATCTGTGTGTCACTGTCAGTGTCACAGTGTCACCGTCAGTGTCACAATGTCACCATCAGTGTGACAGTGTCACCTGTGTGACACCAGGGACACCCAGAACACGGCCATGGGGAACGACAGGTACAGGGACATCTGTCATTGTCACAATGTCACCATGTCACCCTCAGTGCCACCCGTGTGACACCTGTGTGACCTGTGTGTCACTGTCAGTGTCACAGTGTCACCTGTGTGACACCCAGAACACGGCCACGGGGAAAGACAGGTACAGGGACATCTGTGTGACAATGTCACCATGTCACCGTCAGTGTCACCTGTGTGACCTCTGTGCCACCATCAGTGTCACAGTGTCACCCTCAGTGTCCCCTCCCCTGTCACCTCCTGTCACCCGTGTGTCCCCACCCTGCCTGGGTGGGGGGTTGTGTCACACCGGTGTCACCTGTCCCGGGGTGTCCCCGGCGTCCCCTCGGGTGTCACTCGGACACCACAAACTGT